ATTATAAAGATGTAACACTTCCTGCTATTGAAGCAATTGTCAATGTTGGATTACCATTTGTAATCATACCGATTGCATCTTTATCACTCTTTATACGAGTCCTTTGGCAAAAGCGCTTTATGCATTTAAAAGTCTACAAGTGGCAACGTGATCGAAAGATGACATTACAATTATTATCGATTACACTTCTCTATCTCATTTTGTGGATGCCGCTAAATGTGGTGTTAGTAATCAATGTTTTTTGGTCACCCTATTTTCTTATCGAACAACAACTAAACTACATTTACTTAATGCCATGTATTGTTCAATTACTTTATCCATTCATTGTATTCTTATCACATCCTAAATTGCGGCGAAAGAATCGACCAATATTACTGCATATTGTGACTTTTAAATATACTGTTCAGCGTAATCTTACCGCATGTACTTGTATTCGAAATAAAAATTGATTTTTAATTTTCTCTACTAACTTAGAAGTCAACTTTAGTTGTACGTTTTCATTTTGTAGGAACATGTAATGAAAAGCTCTATTTGTTGAAATACAGGGCCCATATAAGATTTATGAGTCTTTTTGTTCACAATACTTTGTGAATAAATACTCACTTGTATTCGTCTATAAAATTAGATGAAATCCTATAATCAGCAGTAGCTACTGAACGTCGGTAAACGTCAGATAACTCATATTATATTCCTAGAATGAAAATGAATACACTGTCATCCGATTAGTTTATCAAGAACAGTTCTATTCACTTTGATTAATGCCATAAATTAAGAAAATATTATTCGATGAGAATGAATTCTCGTGACATCGGTCACTCCATCAATGTCAGGATATGGAGTGTCGGTATGAGTGTATGTGGGTGAGTTTGGATCTACATCTGGGTATAGGTAAACATAAAGGGTTATAACACCCACACTCACACCTAGAGGTGTAAGCCGTGCGGCTGAGCCGCCGCCGCCGATCAACGCGAGAAAATTTAAGCCGCCGCCGCCGTGATGGTCGAAATTTTTAAAAATCCTAAGCCGCCGCTGAGACATATAAGTTCCAGCCGCCGCGCCGCCGAGAGCACTCGGAAGTTTTAAATTTTCGAGTCCCCGCCGCCGACACCGTTCATGAACATCGACAACTTTTTGATCATTTCCCCTCAGAATCGAATGCTGATGAAAAAATTGATTTTTCAAAAATGCAACTGAAAAAAATGCAAACATTTCGTCAGAAAAAAACTAAATTTAATGTCATATTTTTGTAGAACAAACTCTACTCTACAAGTTAATATGTGAAAAGTAGATTCAGCATTGAGTTTTGAATATCAGAATCAAGGATAGGAAAATGTGCGAAAAAATTTCGTCTAAATCGTTTTTTTTCAGCTTCTTGAAGGATCTCTTCACGTCTATCGAGCGAAAGTAGGTACAGAAANCAAAACAATATTTTATAACCGTCCAATGAAAATGAAGTAATGGGTATATAGTAGATTCTGGTAGGTTATGCTTAGCTCCGAATGTTATAGATTTCAAAAGAATTCGTAAATATCTAAAATTCACTAAAATGCGCCATAGTACACGAAAAAAATGTCTATTAATTCTAAACGCTGTGGAAATATGGCAAAAACACTAGAATCTACTATATACCCATTACTTCATTTTCATTGGACGGTTATAAAATATTGTTTTGAACATTAATTTAAACTGAAAATTCTTTATAGTCTGGTATCTTCACTGATGCGATCAAAAACCATACAGGAGCATGTTAAAAATATAAACTCTTATGAACTATATAGAAATTAAAAAAAAAGCTTTAGGTCTCATTATTTGAACTGCTGAAAAAAGATTTTAAAATGTCTTATGAAACCTAGTAAAAAAAATCGGAAACCAACATATCTGTTTTGAAGAAATAAGATGAACAATGAGATTATAACAAATTTTATAAGTCAGTAATTCTTTAAAGTACTGACTGAAACCACATTTCAAAGAAAAACCTTAGACTTTGCCATTAAAAAGAAAAAATTCAATGAGATCAGAAAATTACCCCATCACATCTCGTTCGAAGGTCCTTTAAAAACCGTGTCTTTGATCGAAATCATGATTTTTTCAACAGTTTCATGGGTTCTAGAAACTATCTAAAGAGTCACGTTTTCTGTCACAGGAAGTTTTTAACAACTTCTTTTTATGACTGCAATTTCAGATCGGTCACGTGATCGAGTTACCACACATATGTATCCAAAAAACACCTAAAAAATGATCATTTCCTTGTATACCTGGTAGTACTGATCAATTTATCTAGTTGCCATTCATCTGAACTTATCATTGTACGATAAACATGTCAACTTGAAATGTATATGAAACATTTCGAGTTAAACATGCATTTTTGTTGAGATATTTATGTACACATAATCATAAAAATATTGCTTTTACAGTTTCGTTCTAAAAATATTTGAATATCTAAACTATAGAACGATATTTTTTAGTAGTTGTTGCATCGTCGTTCTTAAAATTGTTTTCTGGAAGTATTTTCAAATTAACAAAGCCTAGGAATTCGATTGAGAACAAGTTCAGTCTTTAGTGATGTGGACTGATTCATAGAACTGTTGAATCTGTCAACTATTTTTCACACAGTGAATGAACCTTCAATATGTAGATTTATTTGATGCTATATTATTAGAATTGTTATGTCTCTCATATTAAATCTATTTCACTCTATAAAATGATGTGTTCATGGTTGGATAAATGACAAACCACATCGCAAATTCTTTGAAATTGACCGAAATTCTTCATCAGCATTGGCTCGCCATAGTCGCATTAAATCTGTCCTACATACTCTGAGTTTCTCAATTGAATGAACTCGTATCGTTGGTATCTGCAACGTATCATGCGTATCGTACGTATCAGGAGGGTATCGGCTGTATCGTAATCGTATCCTCTGGATTGTGTGGATTTTCACCGTATCCCGGATAGACGGAATCCGCTTTTTCCCTCTTGTCCATACCCCACATCTACACCCTCACCAAATATTCGATTACGTAAGTGAAGTTGTTTTTCTTAGTTCGCCTTTTAAATAAACATTCTATATGTTTGTCAGAGTATCGTTATGTAAAAGCAAATGATTAACCAATGTTCGACGAGAACAGGTTTGAGTATACTACATGATTCAGATTCAAATACATGTTTCCGTTTTTTATGTATGATTTATATTAATGAACTATCGTGTTGGAAAGATTTTCTAGCATA